TATTTTTTAGCAAAAGTTTCTAACTTGGAGATACCACTCTGTTCTTCATTATTTCTCCTTTGATGCCCACATCTCTTTCTTTTTCTTCAGAAACAGTCACTAGTGATATTTTTTATTAAATATCCACAGTAAGTTATAATACACTGAGCCAATATTTTGAGGGTTTTTTTTTTATCAGAGAAGTAGAAGTAATTCCTGCAGCTGCAGGTTTTATTAAGGTGCATAATTGTATGGTGATTAACAACTGCATACTGAAGGTACGGACTGAACAGACTGCTTCTTTCTACTCAGGTAGCTTTCAAGTATGGTTTTTAATATAGTGTTAGGGCATGTGGAAATAAACTATAAATGCCTCAGCTGTGAGGAGAATGGTACTGCTAACTCATAAATGCATGTGAAGTAGCTCTCAGGTTTCAAACACAAATGAGATATAGATGTTCAATACAGAGGAGCAACATTTCAGCTGTTTGGTTTGGCAAAGTACATTCTGTCTTCAAAGAATTTAATTGCTTATTTACATTTGCAGATTTCATTGCTTATATGAGTACATGAGCTATAAACTATTCATTCCAGCTCTTGCTGAGAATGTGTAGGCTTAGTAATTAGTGATTTAAAATAGATCAGTTTCCCATTTGATGGGGTGAGAAAGGGCATGTCCAAGCATTGCTCAGGGTCCGTGTGCACCTTTAACCATGCTTTAACCTGACTAATTTTCAAAACCATCTAGGCTTTAAGGGGTGGGGGGAATGGTGTTGGGGTTTTTGGCTGTGTTTTTTTTTTCCTTCTTTCCTGAGAAGAATGTGGGAGACTTTCTGCTGTGGTAGGTTTTTCTTGCTTGCTTTCTAGTTAGACTGATTGCAGTTTTTATCCTAAGAACTTTATGGTTTTCCACATGGATACTTCACCTTTGCATTAGTTTCATACCACATCTCTCCAGGAATCTTCTTATGAAGAATTTTTCTGTGTTTCAGAATTTATCTAAGGCACTGGATTTAGCATTTGTTTGTAGCAAAATGAAACAGTCTTACTGATGCAATAAAATTTTGACAGTTCTGCTTTTTCATGTTGTGCTTCTTAAGCTTCGATCTTCTAAGTTTTGGTTAAAGGAAGCATTAAATAGGTGCAGGGAGATGTTTTGGCTTATTTTTATATAAATGTTCTTGTTCAGAGGAAAATATTTGCACTTTGTTTCTTAAAACTAGATGTCTTACACAACAGTTGTATAGTTGTAGTGTAAAACTGTGAGTCTTCAGTTCTGCTTAAAACTTAATAAAACTATAGAGGTGAGCATAAAAAGGTTCAATGTAAAATATCATTCCAAGTGTCTGATGACAAAATGATGTCCTCATGATGTTTTAAGCATGTAACTGCTAATTTGGCTCTTTTTCTAATCAGAAGTGTTAAACAAGTTAATTTTAATGCAACTGTGCATGCAAACACATATTCATTAACAGATACAAGTGTCATTATTTCTTTGAAAATAGTTACATTGTATTTGGGAATAGGCATGTGAGGGGTTAAGTGCTGCAAGGTTGTCACTAGGTATCTACTCCTTATTTTATTGGTCTCTGGGGGTAGGTTTGTATTTGTAATTTGCATGTTGAACTTCAAATATGATTTTGTGTTCTTGAGAATAAATAATGCTGGGGACTCACATTAATATGACAACACGCAGAGGAAATACTTGAATTTCTTGATATTAAGTATAGTGATTCAGCATAGAAGTACAGAATAAAAAAAGAGCACCTTTTAACAAACATTCTATAAGTTGAAAAGCTTGTCTTCCTCTCCTGGTTAAACTGAAGCAAGCAGGAACTGTAGAAGTATTACCTGTGTTATCTCTGCCTGTTACATCTGGATTTTATACATGACTGTAGATGTTGGATCTTGCGTTTCTGGAGACTAGGATAAGTTGTTGTAAGTAGCACTATTGGAGAGGTGTATGTGACATCATAAACATTACAGAAAGCTTATTTATACTGAAACATGATAAAACTGTTTTCAGATCATGGTAGAGGGTAAGTTAGGAACTTTGTCTTACTTCCTGCTGGTGAACTCACAAGCAGTTGCACTGTTCCTTCTCATTAAAGGCAAGTAGAAACACAAATAATACAAAATAACATAAAGAGCTTTCCATACTGGTATGTATATGTTTTAAATTGCTTGTCTTCTGAAATTATATTAAACACAAAAACTCACCAAAAAGCCCTCCCCAAGACTGAGCAAACCCAAGGGGCTAATACAATAAACAGAACCAAACCACAACCACCCTAGTGTTCCTTCACATCCAAAAACAAATTTTTCCCAGTTTGGATTTCCACATTTTATCGTAATCCTCTCTGTTCAGCTAGCTTTTTTTTTTAAACTACTTTAGTCATGTTTTCTACATGTACTTTCTCGTCAATGTTGTGTAATGTTAGCAGACTTAGAGCTTGTTGGTCTGAAAAGCCCTGCAGCCTTTTCAAAAGAACTTGTAGTCTTGTTTAGTGACCCTGAATGTCAGCACCTGCGTTCAGGAGGAATGTGTATAAAATATGTGAATTGAACAAAAGTTTCAAGATGATAAACCAATGCTCTTGTGGTAAAACAGGTAGAAAGCTACACCAAAATCTGCTTTTAAAAGTTAAAATGAAATAATAAGACTAGAAAATTCCAAAGCTGTTTGCCTGTACAGCTTTGAATTGAATCCCCAGGTACATACTAGTTTTTAAAATTTTCTTTGTTATCTTCAAGCATGCTTGTATATCTAGTTTGCTCACAGGACAGGCCTCTGTTAGTTCACAAGACTTGCTTTATTGATAAATTTGAGCTATATAGGGAGGACTCATCATGTTTTCATAGTCTCTACTTCAGTTACTGAAGAAGATGAGATTTGCTAAAGAAAAACAGATATCTGTCAGTGTTAAGTATGCTGCCCTAAAAAATTGCGCTTGAATTCTGCTTTTGCTATGTAGTTGCAAGTAGTAATTAGGAAGCAGTGTTGATGTTTACCATCTTAATGGTAATTCAGATATTTGCATTTCAGTTAAGACTAGTCACTGTTCCTTATTTCATAGTGTTTAAATACATGGTCTGATTACCAGAATTGCTTTTGCATCTGAACTCAGTGGAAACTATGTTGTAAATATGAATTATTTTATGCTGATGTGTATCCTAGAAAAAAATGAGCTTTAGAAATTGTCGTCCAAAATTAATGGGTAGGTTTTTTTTAAACAGTTTTTAACTGTTTATAAACAGTTTAAGTTTTTAGTATCCTCGTGTGTCAGGATTCAGTCTGTCTTGTTTAGTGGTTCACTTGCTTTGTTCTTCAAGTATGAGAGCTGCAAAGTAATGCTTAAAGAAGCTAGGCAGTGTATTAAAATAAAGCTGTATATTGAACCACAGGAGAAGCTTACTGAATTCCTGCTGAAATACCCTGAAAAGGTAGTATAATCTGTTGATGCTTAGAGTTGTAAAAACACTTGTGGAGGAATGAGGAGAGAACAAGCAAATTCCTGGTTTTCCTGAAAGTACAGGAAAGAACTGAATTAGGGTTGCCCTTCTGTAGTTTTGGTAATGAAATTACCAAGCATGTAGCTTGAATGTTGGTGTTAAAGTATATCTCTTTATGTAGCTTGGTTTTTTTTAAATCAAACTATAAATTGAAGCTTCAGCTACAGAATTCATTTGATAACCCGTGGTTCATGAGTGAATGACACTCTTGTTTCAGCCTTTATTGCTTGAGCTATGGCAGTAGTACACAACCGTAGTAGGTTGCAATAGGTTGCTGTTCCCTGTAGACAAGCATTAGAATCTTTGCTGTAAGTGTTGAAAGCTTAATGGCAGCAGTGTTGTAACTTCAGGTGTGCTGAAGTGCATATGGGCTGCTCTGCCTGTAGTATTCCTGCCATTGTTCTCTGTGGGGTTTTTTTTGTGGGGGGAGAGAGGAGGTGTTTGTTTTTTGTCTGTTTGACACAGTTCTTGTTTTTTTTCACTCTAGTAACAGGCTTCTTGGCCACAAAGTTGTGACTTCCCTGTCAAGATTATGATTCTCCTCTTGCACTGACTTAATGTCATTTTTTTTTATTTTTTTTTTTTTGTCCTCTACTTGCCTGCCAAAACTATTTTCTCTGTGGCCCATTCATTTGAGCTCTTTAGTGCTCTGCATTCAAATTGGCTAGGAGCTCGCTTGGCTCAGGAGGAAGATTTCTCAGATGATAGACACACCATGAAGCAGTCCAAATCTGAAACTGTTCAGACTGTAGAGTTTAGGGACCCCAGGTGGATTTTGGGGCATAATGTGTGGATGAATATTTTAATCCCTTGAGTACATACAAACTGTTTTTTACAGTGTTGCTTTATAAATGAGCCAACCCTTTTATTTGGGGAGCTGAAATAACAAAACCATCGGTCCTTAAAAAGAAGTTACTCTCTCACTTATTCTCAATCTCCTACCTCTGTAAATTATATTGTAACAAGTCTAGAAGGAACAACATGTATCCCTTGATGCTTGAGAGGAAAAAAAAAAAGCTATTCTTACTTGTCCCCTGAAAGAGTTGTGATGAGGTTAACATCAACCCTACCTATTTGGCAGAAGTTATAAAGTTGAGAAGACTATGGTGAGAAGTGGTAGACAACTTTGCTAGGTTGTCCTTCAGGCTACTTAATTATTTGTTCAATGAGATAAAGGGTGAGATCAGATGTCTCTTCCTGCCATGTGTAAATGGAAAAGATTTGGGATATCCAACTTCTTTTGCAACCTGGCTGTTTGGATCTGTGGGGTAAAAAAAAGTAAGCTGTATATTCAAGAACACTCCCCCGGCCACAAAGATTTTTGCTAATAATTGTGTGTTGTGATCCTGTGTTGAGGCAGCCTGTTTGAACAGTCAGGGCATAAGCTACTTCTGTTGTGAGTCAAGTTCATTAACTTGGGGAGGGTCAGAGGGAAGAAAGGAGACTTAAGTTACTGTGTACGTAACTAGGATGGGTTCTTATTTGACCTGAAGTCTGTCTTGATGCAGCAGCACAAGCCAGCGAGGAGACTGTCACATTTCGCCGTGAACGCAGCACATTTAGGCGTCAGGCAGTACGACGCCGGCACAATGCAGGGAGTAACCCTACCCCTCCTACATTGCTCATCGGATCACCCCTCAGGTAGGGTATCTAAATGTTCCACCATATTTAGCATGCATGCAGCAGACCACTTCCCCACACCCACCAGTGTTGCCAGAAAAGCACTTTTTACTTCTTTCCCCACCATAACCTTGAGCTGTCACTGCATGTCACTGTGGGCTTGTTGAATTGTGCATGTATATGTGGCACTATTTTAAAAATGGACAGGATAGTCAGTCTCTAACATGTTGCAGCTGTTTTCAGATTGATATAAAAATTAACTACTGCTAACAAACTTAGCCTCAGTGGTTTTTATCAAAAATTTTAGAAACTTTTACTTCCAATAAACAAGAGAAACCCAAGAAAATAGTATCAGCACTCCCCATTTTGGTTTTCTTTTCCTGAAGAATGTAAGTATTAGGGACTAGTACTGTGATCACATTTGTAGACTGTGGGAGATAAGCAAAATGACAGACATTTATAAAGAGCTAATACATACATAGGCTACAAATCTAAAATACAGGTAAACCTTTACGAAGATCATGCAGCTTTTTACAGCAAAAGAGAAATAATGGAGTAATATGCCCAGTATTGCTTAGTATTAAATCTAATTGTGTGGCACTTTGCATGCCTTGGCAATGTTTAAAATGTACTGTATACATCTATCTCAGGAGTCCCCTAGCTAGTTGAAAACTAGCCACTTTGTTTTCAATGCTGAGCCTAGTGATTTACATGCAGCAGTTCTGTTTGATCTATCAGCCTGAACAGTAGAAACAGCAGCCACAATAAGTTTTTAGACTTGTGTTTTAAGTCTTTCAGTTTCTTGGTTGCTTATGGTATTTGAGAATCTGTGAGGAGAACATGGCCTGTAGAAGAAGGAACAGTCCCCTGTCAGTATTGAAGTAATTCTTCCTTCAGTTACATGATAAATACATAGGAGTAACTGCATATGTTATATATTCTCAATGACCATCCTTTGTATGTTAAACTGTTTTTGTGTTTTGGGAATATTTATATAATTTTTTTAACTAGGAAAAGCTGTAGAAACTGAACAAATAAAAAGAAAATACTTTACAGTCGAGAATGGCAGAGGAATTGTCATCTTTGTCACACCACTAAAATATTTGAATACTTATGTTTGCAAATTTTCCTCAGGCAGGGGGAGTGCAAGAATGGTACCTAGAAATCTAACAGACGAGGGACTGACACCTGTCATATCAAGGACTGAAACTAGTTAGGTGTGTTTTTAGTGTCTGGTGCGGTATGAAGTAGCAATTATGTAATTTCAGGTTTTTCTTTTTTAAGCTTTTGGTCTTGCTGAACATAGAGTGTTAAACTTGAAGCTAGTGATTTGTTTCATAGTGAAGGATGATAAAACTTCGCATTCGTTCAGATCACTTTTGCTTTACCTGATTGCCTTCACTTGCCTCTGAGTTTTTGTTTTCCTTTTTTTTTTTTTTTAAATAAAGGAGGGTAGTGCAGCTTTGTGTATTGCAGCATAAGAGGTTGTGCAGACTAATGAAAGCTTCTTAACTGTGTATTAGTTAGAAAACAGTGTTTTCTTTCATGTAGGTATAAAGTAAGGAAAGTAAAGGACTCTGTTTTAAACTGGTTGACAGCTGCCGCATTTCCACACGCTAGTGCAGTCATTAAGGTTCCCATGGCTTAAGCTTGACTTCAGTGACAGACTTTGAAGTAACTTCATGAACTTTGTGCATCATGAATTTCACTTTGTGAAGTGGGAGTAACTCTTGAATCAGGCAAGATGTTCAAGGGTAAAAAAGCAGATTAAATATTCTAGCCTTGGATTTCCTCTAAGCATCTTTGTTATCTAAATTTGTTCTGTTCTAAATTAGAAAAAACAACCAAAACGGCTCGCTTTACTTCTCTAACATAATGACATACATTATCAAAAATACTTTATAATATAAATGTATTCAGAATTGAATACTTACTGAGGTTAATTTTCTCGAAGTACTTTTCATGATGCTAAATTACTGTCCCTTGGAGTGGAGTTATATTGCCGTAGTCTAACCAAACAGCTAAGTGTTTCATATTTGTCTGACACAGATTCAATTTGAGCTATCAACTGTAGAATGTATCTGAAAAAAAATGTGTATTAGTATTTTAATTTCTAGGTGAACAGTCTAAAAACCCCCTTTCCTTTATGGGTATCTTAATTTTAATGTAAATTCTGTTTTACTGGAAGAAGGAAACCCTTAAGAAAGATTTTAAAGAAATCATGCCTAAGGAGCAAATGTGATGAAATGTAGAGACATTTTTAGCCAGTCACCACTAAGAAGTTTTCAAAATATCACTATAATTGTATTGAAATCACTCTTGTATGCTGTTGGTGAGCTGCCCTGGTCTAGGTTCTGATATTGCTAATCTATGACTTCAGATATTAAACTTCTAAGAATATTAGATTTACTAATCTTTAGTTGCCCTGATGTTATGTGTTTCTTATTCTTGCCAGGAAAACTTTAATCTCTAATTTTGTAACTCTGTCCTAAAACAGGATGTTGGGGGAATGTTCCCCAGGACCTGTTGAGTTAAACCTGATATCATTTATAGTTTTCTATCCATGATTGCAATTACTTTTCACTTCCTCTCTGAAATATTTCATAAATAGACAGTGGCATTATGACATTATATATGTGTGTCTTTGGCAGTGGTAGAAAAGTCCAACCTGGTCTAGCAAATTCTGCTGGTTTGATGCTAAATTAGACACAAGATTATTATGCCTGGTAACCTAAAAAGCAAACCCAAAATGCACCATAAAACACCGTCCACCCCTGCTTTTGTCCTGTCTAAATGTCAGTAGTGTTTTGGGCACTTGAAAAATGAGTGTTCATTGGCATCCCATGTAGTCAATGGTGTATGCATGTGTGTAAGTGAATGTATGAAGCAGAATTTTATTCTTATAATAATGAGGCAGAGAATAAACATATTTTTTGCATATTCTACAATTGGTTGCCATGGATATTTTGGTGGGACTTTTTAGTTGTGGCAGCTGTGTAATAACCTCTTGGTTACTGGTAGTTGGATTGGTGTTGCTTAAGGAAGACAGTGAAGGTTGGCACATCTGTGACCTTCCCTAGGGCTTTTGTTGCTGCATAGCTCACTGAAAACCTTGTATACTGCAGCAAAATACTGAATTTAAATCTCAGATTAAAATGTTAGAACACAATAAATAATGAATTGCAGTTCTTTTCTTCCTGAGCTGTGTGCATGTCTGCATTAGTTTGCATGAGCTTTTCTTAACAACTATTCTTATATCCATATTTTGTTTTCCAGTGATGCTCTAACAAAAGAACTGAAAAGTAGATGATGTAGAAAATACTGTTAAAAGCAAGTACATCAGATATAACCCTTCAACTCTTAGTAAGATCTTTTTTTTTTAGTTGCCTCATTTGCCAACTCCAGCATCATGCTGTAAACATTGAAATGTTAAAAGCAACAGGTGATACATATTGTTTTTCAAAACAGTGTTTAAGCTGTTTTTCAGTCTTTAAAATAGAAAATCTTTTACCTAAGATAATGCCTCAGCTAATGACTGTACAATGTAACTTCTTTAAATACACAAAATAAAGGATAAAACTGCTCTTGCAAAGATGGTACGATATCAGCTGTAAGCATCACGTACTCTGACACTGTCATACCTAATATTAAACAAGCTGTTTAAAAAATCTTAACTTTGGTAAATAGCTTTATAAAGTAATTTTGCACTGGAAGTTTGTGAAGAGGAGAATTAACATTTTTGAAACATTATCTACTCATGCCTATAAATGTACAAATTTCTCTGAAAGCCAGGTTGACTTTTAAAACCTGTGTTTTGGTGAGTAATAAAGTTTTTTCTGTATCTTCAAAGTAGCTTCAGAATCAACTTTTGCCAATTAATAACTTTCTATAGAGAGTCTTAGTATGTTCGAAGTAATTCTGAATCCAAATGTATTACTTCAGTTATCTACAAGGTCTGTGATATTATATGGCTATCAGCAAAGCCTAAAGATGTTTCCTAGTTAGTGTGGATTAATAATAAGAAGGGTGATGTCTCTGTGACTAACAAAAAAGCCCTAAACAGCTGATCAGGTCGTACTTGAATAAGCAAAAAGAACCCCAGCTATTGTGAGAAGACTGGAATAGTCAGTGTAAATATAGGTGATACCTCTGGTTAGTCTGTATTTAAACTAAGAATCAGTAATTTGCTTTTGCACCTACAAATTAAGACTCAGAAGAATATACCTGTTGGGCGGCGTGGGGAGATCTTTGAAAGCAGTACTACTTCTAAGTAGTTGGCAGGAACAGTATCTCTAGATTACTGATGTAACTAGGGCCTAAACACTGTTACACAAAATTCAGGGGTTACTTTAACCCTAACTGTTGGCTGCTTAATGCTACTATACAGTTTAAAAAAAAAAAAAAAGTTTTCCTCTTTAAACTGAAAAATCTTTGTTTACTTCACTTCTGGCTCTTTTTCACTTCTTCCTGGTAATGTATGCCCAATGCGTGTTTTCTCGTAGCCTTCAAGATGGTCAGCAAGGCCAGCAGTGCTCCTCCCAGGTCAGAGTGCAGTCCCGCCCCCCTTCCCAGGCAGCTGTGCCCGGCGCTAGCGCCTCCTTGCTGGTGAGAAATGGGAGTGTCCACTTAGAAGCATCACATGCCACTGCATCTGCTGTAGGCGGTAGCAGTTTGCACGATGAACTTGGTATGCAGGCCTTATGTAACCTTGGTGACATGGAAGTTTTAATACAGCAGATTTATTGGAAATGCAATATGCAGTGCAAATCAGCTAACCTGAGCTTTGTTTCTTAATCTTGTAGCTGTGTTTCTAGGAAGGCCATATTGCTCATCCATTTGTTGCCTTTTTCAATCACATTTCCAGGCACTTTCTGTAACAAATGAATGATGGGAAATATGGAGGCATAGATGCAAGTAATGATGATGTGAGAACTTTCTTGATTTAAACAATGTAACACAAGTAATAAATCTTTCCTATGGTCCTGCAGGCAGTTGAGCAGACTTTGGGCATCTTCTGGTTC